ATCAGTCAGGTGATATATGCTTCTCAAATGTGACCAGAGAGTTTTGTTATTTCCTAAAAATGAACTTGACTGTTGTTAAAACACATTGGATACCATATGTCATCAACACATGTGAACTTGAACTTCTCTTCACAAACGTCTTCCTGATTTGTCGAAACTATAAAATTATGAATCAAAATCATACGCTCGTTATTGCTTAAAGCTGGAGTACCTAACTTTGGGTGCATACATGAAGTGCAATGAAATCCATGTCACTAGATCCTGGCTCTCAAAACAATTTATCAGTAGGTTTTGGCCTCTGTCACATCTTTAGATCAGCTTTTTCAGAAAGAAAAGTGAAAAAGAGAGGACCACACTCACTCAGCTCCTATGTTTAAGATAAAAGGTTTTCTGATAAGACTAAGACATGTCGTGGTCTGATTTTTTCACAAAATTCCACTTACACAAGAAGAATTTTGTGTTAGTAGAACATTTTCGGTTCTCCAGTTTATTCCAAGTCTTAATGTCAGCCCCAGCCTCTCCATATGCGTTCACATTCAGCCAATTCAAAACTCATCCAACTTTAACCCTTGAGCCAAACTCACATTTTACAACACACACACACACACACACTCCTGTCTTCCGTACAACATATGGACCCAGAGTTGCCGCCATCCGAGCTCGTGTACGGGGGAGGAACATCGTTGCTGTCGTGGAAACCCTGGACTGTGCAATAATGAATGGGCGTTGCATGCAAACAGGAGTCAGTACAGACCATTGTAATTACGGAGCCTTGGGGGAGTCGTCCTTCTTGCGCAGGTTCATTTGCCACATTAATAAGGGGATTAGCAGTAGCACGTACACGGGCTCGGGACGGCAGCGCGGCAAGTTTGAGAAGATTAATGAACTATGACAATGTTGCACCTGAGGGGAGGAAGTCGGCACAAGATCCTCTGGGCATATGTGCTGACTCGGAATTTTGGCTCGGAGATGAAAAGGATGAGAAAAATATGCAAGGGGAATTCGATATCAAGATTTTTCTCCATAACTGAAATTATTATTTTTTGTCTACTGATGCCTGGAATTTAAGATGGTTTTGCTAATAGCTGCCTTGTATACAACGTTTGCATTGTATACAGCGCTCCTGATAAGATACGTTTAGCTGGGAGTCCAAAACATTAACCCTCTAGGCGCCACGGTTGACTTAATTCAACAATATTGTTTAAAACGGCCTATTGTGTCAAGCTGGGTGTCAAAATTCATTCAAAATCCTGCCACACCATGGTTTGCAGGTTTTACTATATCCGTAAACCTGTAAAAATGAAAATCCTCCATTGCCACCACCATATGAAGTCATAATATGCAAACTATATGGGTTCATTTAATTCCTACATAAACTTTGGGCCATCCTTATAATGTCTCACATTTACAAAAAGCCTCTATCTCTTTTCACTTTGAAGTTATTAAGAAATTAACATTGGCTTTTAGGAAAAAACCTCTGGCGTCTAAAGGGTTAAGTTAAAAAATATAACTTTGTCAAATGTATTAATAACTATAAAGTGCACTCAGGGAGAGCATACCCTCGCCAAGGACACGGATCCTTCACACCAGATGTCAACTCAACCCGTTCGTCGTTTTTGTCAAAGACTTTACCTGCAGACTGACAAAGGCAATCACAAAGTGGCAACAACTTGGCACAACTAATTACTATAACATGAATATTAAAAATCATAAAATTAATCAAAATCATCAAATGTATCAAAATCATCAAATGTATCAAAATCATCCAATTAATCTTGTTTTTTTTTTACCATTAGCCTAAAGTACCTGTTATTGTAATATAAATATCTCCACTTCTTCTCAATCCTCGGAGATGCCTTAAAACAATCTCCCCAGCTCTTGAAAAAGTGGTGAGACAAAATAAACAACAGTGAAGATCTTAATTAAGCACATCAGCGAGGACACAAAAAAAAAAACCTCTTATCTCCGTGTGGGTTGGATGCCAGTTTGAGTTAAATAATTAAGAAAACTACTCACAAAAGCAAGCAAAACTGAACACACAAAGAGCAGCGGTGTGGGAAATGTGGGAAATGTAGAAAATGCATCAGGGTCCAATAAGTCAGCGGCGAGTTTTGGATGATTGGAAAGGGATTTGAATAAAAGCATTTCTGTTCAAAAACACATGTAATATATATGTCGAGCAGGGCGAAGAGGAAATGAAATGGATTGTGGGTAATACAGAGGCAGTGGGGGCGAGTACACAGGAGTAGATTATTGCCCCGAGGGGGATCTAGTTTTTGTCTGAGCAAAACAACAAAATAAATCAAAGCTCCCTTTTGGTGCTCTGGCTGAACAATGTGGTTCATTTATATGTTTCGTTTTACTCTGTTGAGAATTCTATCCTACAACTGAATTATACCTTTGTTTTAAAAAAAATATTATTTGCTTTTTATTTTTCCGGCTGAGTAAGATGCCACAGACACACGGATGGGCAAAATTCACCAGGAATAAAGTCATGGCAAAAATCTCGATTTTTTTTTTTTTATTTCGACTTGATTTGGAACTGGTGAGGGTTCCAAGGCTCTTGTGGCAAGTTTTGTCAACAGCTGGTGTTCGTCCAGCTTTGTCAATGGGTGATATAAAAAAAAAATACATGTGTTTGTTGAATGAAAAACAACAATCCATCCGATAATTTTCAAAGTTTGGGGTAATCTTAGGAATAGTTAAAGCTGGAGTATCTCACTTTTAAACCACACACAAAACTACTTTATAAAATCCATGTAACTCATTCCGAACTCTCAAAACGATTTGATTCTATGATTACATTTTCTCTTGCAAGAATTTTTGGCTTTTATCACAACTTTGGATCAGCTTGAAGAAGAGAACCAACCCTCCCTCAGCCAATCACCTCTCATTATACATCACTGTCTAATAAGAAATTAACAAGACTCTTTTCAGTCAGGACGAACACAATTAACTAACTGTATCAAACCGACAAAACGTGACGTACTCCAGCTTTAAGAATCCTTTCAAACAGACACTAGACATTTTTGGTTCAAATTCCCATCCCCTCACAAGCCGACTCCTTTCTATCTCCATGTTCAAAATCACAGCTAGAATCTCTGAACATAACAGTAAAAACAAAAACTCATTTGACATTGATGCAATATTTACTAGCAGTCATTTTCTCCCTCTAAACAGCTAAACCGTGCCGTAGCGTAACCCAGTTCACTCACAATTGGCAGATCAATAGTTCCCATTGACAAGCTGTCAGTGTAACAGGCTTTGGGAATGGCTACCAGTGCTCAGCTCCCCAATCTCCACTCCAGCGTTTATTTGTTCCGCCCATCTCATCTTCATATGTCTTTTTTTGTTTTTTTCCAAGACACATTTTTAGCCTTATATGCATTCATCAAACACACTTGACTTCCTTCATCCGTCTGCATGCTTTTGTCGACGCCCGTGCACTTTCCAAAGCCGTCGTCGTCGTGTTTGTGTGACTGTCAGCTCTACATTCGTCCTCTTGTTTTCCACTTAATCCATATGACATGTTCCCATTCGCCGAAACAATTAATCAGCCCCAGACATACTATACGCTCATATAATTCCCTAACACTGCATGATAGCGGAAGACAAACTACCGCTCGTAAAAAAATAAAAAAATAAAAAAAATAGACACGCAATCCTTGAACCAAAAAACAAACCAATAATAAAGACATCCTTTGAGTAGAAGGTGCAGGAAAATGTTTCTTGACTTTATATGCTTGAAAATTCAAATATTCTGCTTTCATTGTTTGGATTTGCTTCAACTTTTTTTTTTTTTTTACTTCTTGTTGCCTCCAATGTTAAAATCCAACACGTTTCACTATGTTTACAAGTGACTTTTACATGCAATGCTGAATCACCTTTGCGTTACGATCGTTTGTGACTTCAGCAATTCGCTCCTTTTTATCGTACGGGGTGCAAAAGGTGGACAATGTCTGGACTGTCCGTTTGTACAAGACGGCTAAAGAAATATGCCCCCAAGCCAAAAGCCACTTAAAAATGTGACTGCTGTTGACTTCTTTGCCATAGGGCCTTGTAGCTCACTACTGTAACTATATCGTGTATATAGTGTATATATGACATGTACAATGCACTCCTGGTAATCTTGCCTAATGTGCTGTGTTCAACAATGTTCTTTTCTTGATATATTATTTCATTCTTTTTTGCCTTTTTGCTGGGAGTAAATACTCGACCAGTACAATGCAACTACTTCTGTTCTGAAAAGCTTTATTTAAACAGTGCTGATAGACCTTTATAATTTCATAATAAATGTTTGAAAGAGAACTTTTATCTCCTCGTTTTTGCTGTCGCCTGTATTTACATTACATACACATTTGGATCTGCATTTGAACAATGGGGGTCCAAGTTTACATGCTCTGATCAGGCATTACATTATATCCACCAACAATAAAAAGTACCATTTACTATTAACCTTTTGTTTTCAAAGTTGATCTTTTATTAGTGAAGGGAATGTGTCGGAAATAAGCATTTGAACATTGTATCATGGCTCAATAAAACAAACAAAAACAAATTCTAATCTATAAATGTTTAGAGCAGATGTAACTTTGGACCACTACTAGAAACCAACATCCAATACATTAGTGTTTCAATCTCTTGCATCCTGTTAAGTTTAGGTGGTCTTATGTAAAGTCTGATCATGTCCACTATGTGGTTTTTATTCCAGGTTAAAAAAACCTGATGAACCCAGAATCAGGACTTTATTCTTGTGTTTGTCAACTTGCTAAATGAGGTTAAAGCACTTCTGCATGATTCTGTTGGGTTTGACTTAATCTAATTAAGCTCTGACTCTAATGAGTGAATCGGCCTGAACAAATCAGAGCACTGAGCAATGTGTTGGATGAAGTGAAACAGAATAAAAGTTTTAATGGAAATATTGCATCTATCAACGTTATTAGTATATATGAACGAGGAACAGTTTGTGTGTCCTACTCAAAGCTTACACGTCTGTGTTTCAGGTGGTTGATAAAGTGGCTGTTTGGCTCCCAAATGCAAGATATCTTGCCTTTCCTCCAAAGTCACTGCCTTCCAATCCAGGACACGAGTCCTGCCTCAGACAAAAACACACAAGTGGAACGAGCAGCAGCGACACTGACACAAACATGCTGCAAATGTGAACCAAATGTCAACTTTATAGAATCCTCTCCACACACACCCAATGGGCTCTAAGAGGGGGTTAAACATGGTACATACTTTTATGTCAGTTTATGTGTATGGGCAATCTTACAATTATTATAAAATACAATTTAATTACTGTTAATAAATTAATCTCATGTTTAGAAGGAAAAATATCACATACATGCCCCTCGTTTTCTTTTTGCAATGATCATGATCTGGGTTTTCACACTGAAGTATCCTTTGATGATTACCCACACATGTTAACACACATGCCTGCTGAGGACATGGACATTCTGTTCCAGATCTGGACTTTGACTGATGATGAAAGGAGCCCGTACCACGTCCAGATCAGACCAAGAAAGACAAGACTTTTATGCATTTGGGAAACAGCCTCTCTCTGCCACTGACATATTTCCCAGTTAATCTGTGGCTCTTCCCTCAGTTCAAGAAGTGCATCTGGTGTGCCTCATCTTCATCGTTTTTTTTTTTTAACTCTCTGCTTTGGTTCAGGGAAGTGTGTTAAACGTGCTATGCCAACAACATCTATGGAAGAGCGCTGCCTAATCTGTCCTCTCCGCCTGAAAGCCGAACGCAGAGCTTAGCGTGCATCCGAGGTGGGCTCTGGAGAGAGAGAGGGGGGAAAGCTAGAATCAAGAAATAAATATAGGCTTTAAAGTTGACCTCAACCATATGCCCCTGGGCAAAAAAAACTGTTTATGTGTACTGAGAGAAGTTTGAAACCTGCCTTTTGACCCCTAATAAAAATCATATTGCCTATCATCTCAAAATGCATTCAGGCTTTTAAAAAACTGTGCTCTTTATATCAGAATCTCATGACGCTGGAGTGATGCCAATATGTGTGTTGTATTATATGAATATGTTTATCACAACCAATAAATATCACGTTTTTATATTGAACCTATTGAGAAACAAGTCTCACATTATTTGAGCTGTGAACGACTATAATTTAAGGTGTCGTTGCCTTTGTACTTATAGTGGAAGCGTTTAGAGGTGATTTGAAATATTACAACTCATCATAAAGATTGTAAAGACTTGAGATTGTGAATAAAAAGCAATTCATGACTATTTTTTGTAGACACAAGTTGTATCAGGAATAGATAAGCAGCAGGATCTTTGCAGGGACAACACATAAATAAACAAAAATCAATTAAAAAGGTTTTGTGTGAAAATGCAAGATTCAATTCAATTTATCTTTGTGTGGCCCTAAATTACAACAGCAGTCATCTCGGAGGACATAAGAAAGATGTCGATTCATCAACAGATTAGAGAATAGGACATGCAAGATTAACCAACACATAGGAGGGGAACGAAATGATCAATCACTATCCTTAAACCCTCCTGCATTGGCAAGGAATGACTCAAAAATAAAAACCTAATGAGAAAAAGAGAGAAACCTTGCAGAGACCCATATTGAGAGAGGGATCTGCTCTCACGGACTCAGGCTGTCGAACGAGGACTGAGGCTGTGCAGGACTGAAGTTATTCCAGGCAGGGAGGGGGGAGCAGCCCACAAGTCCGGGTCTGGGGGAGACCAGACCAACAGTGCGGATGAGAGATATTTGCAAATTTTTTATAGAATAGGATAAACATATACATTTCATCACATAACATCGTTCCCTTGAGAAAAAAATCCCATCGGCCGACATGGAAACAAAACGGAGGACTCTATTTCTTTAACTGATGAAAAAGTAATGCAAGAGAGCACATCCAAAGCATAATTAAAGTCTGACAGAGGGTTTAGTGGAGCACTTAAGCAGCAGATGCAAACAGCTCCTCCAGACTCCTCACATAATGTCTGTGTGTGCACAACAATAGGCACGGGCCGTTAGCAAAGCTGTTTTAAATCCACATATTTGCATTATGCTGTTAGACAACTCGGTATTCTCACTCGTCTGGGTGCACATGACGGAGCGTGTTGACTCGATAACCTTGTTTAGAGAGTAACCACACAAATTTGCTTCACGGCCATGTTGTCAATGTAGTCTTTGTTGCACTACGCACCCCATAATTCTTCAGAATGCGTAGTACAGAAATATGGGTCATCGTCTTATGACTGACAAACTGCCAACCTTGTGACTGTGAAGCGGTAAGATACAAAACAAATGATCAAAAACAGTTTTCTCTTGGCTTTCTTTCTGGGTTTCTGTACACATGACACACACACACACACACACACACACACACTCATCATGTAACAATTTAGATGTTGTGTCCTTGAGCCCCTTAAATAAGACCAGTACTTTTGAAACCTCTCATCAAATGTAAATAACTGGAATCGTTTGCAACATTTTGAATTAAAGCTTACTGTGCGGGCTTTAAGGAGAAAGACGAACAACGCAAGACTCCTGATTGGTAAAAATGTATTCAAATTCTTCAGGCTTCTCATTGACTATTCTCCTCCAGCGAATCTTATTGGTCAGGATTATGCCAAAATACACTATCTTTGAAAATTACTTGCTGTACATATAGTATACCATATTTCAAAAAAGAAAAACCATTGATGTTGGTTTTATCACCTTAACATTTACTATTTGGATGCAATCACACATAACTTCAAAGTTAGTGTTGCTATAGTTTCCGTTTCCTGGGGACAGATCCTGGTCACAGCCACATTTTAACATCAACCCCTAGTCTAAAGGTGTTTGAACCCTAATCCTAAATCGTGTAGTTTATTCTTACAGAATTTTTTTGCTGTAATTGACATTTATCTCATGGTACTGCAACAATACTTTTACTTTATGAATGAAGAACCCTCATTATAATATTTCACAATTACACAGATTTCTATTTACACACAATCAAATATACAGAGTCGTATGTATTGACCCAGCAAACAAACAGTGCCACAAAAATGAAACCAATTCCCACAATATTAAAATGTAATGACACCGGCTTTGTTCATAGGCCAAACGCTGAGTATTCTTTTCATATAGTGTGTTTTGAACTACGTCCCAAATATAATTCATTTGTCTTGGCTTTGTAAAAATAGCCACAAACAGAGCAGCTTGGCGACCGTATGATAAGAGGATTTAATATGAAGGCCCGACTTATTTAGTGGAATAAATTGTGTAACCGTGCACATTTAGAAGTGCTATTGAAGTGTGCCGAGACACCGGAGAGACCTCTGAAGTGCTCAAAAGATTAAGGCTCCAAATAAAAGAGGTCCCTGTGTGAGCAGCGCTTCCCCGTTTCCAGTCACACTGCAGCGACATGCGCCGCACGGCAATAAAGAACAAGAGAGGAAGGAGACATGGCTTTAAGCTTCTTACGCTCTACGTGGCCTGTTCCATGTTAGAAAGAGTCAATTTAACGAAAGATTGGTACCTGTCCGTCTACGATCATGTGGGAATAAGTTTAAGTTACAAAGATTCAAAATACATGTTGGAAGTGACTCCAATTTTATACAAAGGCTATAAAAGTGCAACAATATTGTACAGTTTTACAATAATTATGCACGTTTACGCTCACAGTTAGTCCAGAATTCCTCAACACAGCTTTTAAAAGGAACCAACATAATGGAACCATATTTCTCTGATTTTAACGTCTTGGTCATTTTAGACTTGATTTTAAGATCTTATTGTTTGCTTTGAAAGCCTTGAATGGATTGGCCAAACATTGAGTCTCGGACCTTATCCAAATCTAACATCTGAAAAACACGCTGAGGGGTGTGGTCTGAGGTCTCTGTGGTCTTAAACCCAGGGGACAGGGCCTTCTCCGTGGTCTTAAACCCAGGGGACAGGGCCTTCTCTGTGGTCTTAAACCCAGGGGACAGGGCCTTCTCTGTAGTCTTAAACCCAGCTAGGGGACATGGCCTTCTCCGTGGTCTTAAACTTAGAGGATAGGCCCTTCTCTGTAACCTGGTCTTAAACCCGGGGGCAGGGTTTTTGCTGTGCTCTTTTACCCGGGGGACAGGGCCTTCTCGGTCTTAAACCTGGAGGACAGGGCAATGTCACAACAACAAGAGCTTCATGTGCCCACTAGTTACAACAAAGAGAAGAAACCCTCATGAAATGTATACATACATACATGTAAAATATCAAATAAAGTCAAGGCCAAAGTCTCCAAATTACGAGCTGTACAAAGCTAATTTCTTCCATAGTCAATTCACCAACACAAGATAAGAGAAACAAACATTTAGAACATAGGACATGCAATAATAATAACAAACACAAAGGAATTTAAATATATGCTGTATCAAATTTCAGATTTGAGAAATGGAAATAGATTTAAAAGTGCTACATCATCTCACACACCTCCTTTTTACTGTCCTGCACCCACCCCACACTTTGAGAAGCACTGACTTATGCTAATCAGTTGAACAGTGTAATGAGCTTCACCCTAAATGTTTTTGTTTATATTTGAATTTTCTGGATTATTGTCAAAGGGGCAGGTGGCAAAACTGGACACACTATCTCACTAGTGTTCCATGATATCATAACCTATTTGTTCCTAAAAGTACAAAAAGCAGTCCGACACGTCACAGTGAAAGATTACCTATGCTACAGTGGCCTTTCTTCCTCTACTCATCTTTTGTGCATTATCATTTGCCATATTGAACATTGTTCCAGTTTAGAGCTCAGCTAAATTAGTCCTCTCAAAGCCCTGCATTGAATTAACAACCAGTGAGCTTGAAGAGGCCCCTGACGAGTTGAAGCTGTATTATTTTTTTGTTCACGTGTGTGTGCTGCCAGACTTCCCTTTGGTGACAGTGTGGTCCAGGCCTCACTGAGATATCCCTCTAGTGTAATCGAGCCTTAACCAGGATCTCACTCACATATTCCCTTTTGGTCGGGAAATTCAAAAGAGGTGAGCGGATTCGGCTGATTAAATCCCCATACGTATTTGACTCCAGACAAAAGGAGAAACTGTTTCCATTTTTTTTTTCACTGTAACAGCTTGAAATCCTTCAGGACAGGAGGCAAATTATGCAGCTATATTTGAGGGGGCAAGAAGCAAGAACGCAGAGCACATGGCCAGAC